AAACTCTTCCACACATGGTGGCCAGATACATTCCTCAAAAGAACCGCTGCAACTGCCACCCTCTTGAGGGCCTTTCCCCTGCCTGGCTGGCAGGGCACTACAACGAACCGGAACAAAAGCAAAACAACAAAAAAAGCAAACTCTTCCACACATGGTGGCCAGATACATTCCTCCAAGAACTGCTGAAACTGCCACCCTCAGGCCTTCCCCGACGTCCCTGCATTTGAAACTCCGTTTTTTTTTTCCGTTTTTTTTTCTTCTTGTTTCCTTTCTTTCTTTTTCGTCGGCCTCTAAGCCTAAACTTGCCCAATTGCCCAAAGCCTTCGAAAAGCCTGTTCGCCCGAAAAGGAAAAACAGGTCGCCGCCCATCAAAGAACCCCACCGACCTCATGAAACGACCGATTGCCTAAAGCCTGCAACGACCGGTCTGTATCCTAGCCCCGACCGCACCCTTCCCGCCTCCCTCTAAAAACCAAAAACACCCCCGCCAACCTCAAATGAATCCCACGACATTTCCCGAAAGGGAAAAAAAAGCTTGCAGTCCAGGTAAGCGCAGCCTCTGGCTGCGAACAAACCGTAACAAAAGCAAAACAACAAAAAAAGCAAACTCTTCCACACATGGTGGCTAGATACATTCCTCAAAGAACTGCTGAAACTGCCACCCTCAGGCCTTCCCCGACGTCCCTGCATTTGAAACTCCGTTTTTTTTTTCCTTTTTTTTTCCTTCTTGTTTCCTTTCTTTCGTTTTCGTCTGCCTCTAAGACTAAACTTGCCCAATTGCCCAAAGCCTTCGAAAAGCCTGTTCGCCCGAAAAGGAAAAACAGGTCGCCGCCCATCAAAACCCCCCACCGACCTCACGAAACGACCGATTGCCCAAAGCCTGCAACGACCGGTCTGTCTCCTAGCCCCGACCGCACCCTTCCCGCCTCCCTCTAAAAACCAAAAACACCCCCGCCAACCTCAAATGAATCCCACGACATTTCCCGAAAAGGGACAAAAAAGCTTGCAGTCCAGGTAAGCGCAGCCTCTGGCTGCGAATTCAGAAAATGCCACCACCTATCGGACGCCACCATTGACAAAACCAAGGGGGATAGCCCCGCCGGGCCCTCGACCCCTCGGTCCCCTCGCGCCACTCTTATCCCCGCGTCGTCGGCGCTTGGTCTCGATCCCTAAATCTTTCCAACGAAAATCTGATGTCGTAACCGCTAGTGCTAGGCCCAAGTCATGGTCTAGCTCTGAGGGACACCTAGAATAAACCAATACTGCGCGACGCGCAGAGCTACCGAAAGATGTTTCAAAGCCCCCTTGTTGTCGATATCGTCCTCCGTGCATACGCACAAATCACAGGCAAGTGCATCAATGATCAATACATAATATTTTTGATCCTAACTTAATCAGAAAAATAAAAATAAGGCCGGCGATCACGCCATTTCTTCAATCATCAAAATAAAAAGATCACGAGCGCCTCAAATTTGCGCGCCCACACACTCTCTATTCTGGTCAACCAATCAGCCAAAGTAAACCTCAGACATAGTCGCGCCTCGCGGGACATTCCCTAAATCTTAAATCAAACTTATTTTCTGTTGCTTGCAAAAACCCAGGGCGGATACCCTTGTAAGGGTATTCGCACCAACATCGGCCAATCTTGAATGGCTTGTACCTTGTTTGCAAGCGAACAAATGCCTTGCGGCGTAACGTAGTGGCCTAAGTACTCCAACTCTTGCTGGGCAAACTCGCACTTGTCGCGGTTCGCCTTGTACTTGGCGATACGGAGCCGTTCCAAAACGGCGCGAAGGTGCTCGAGGTGCTCGTCCAGCGTCCGGCTATAAACCAAGATATCATCAAGGTAAATGAGTACGGTGCGGTCGAGCAAGTCGCGAAATTCCGTCGTCATAGCCACTTGGAAAGTAGCCGGGGCATTGGTTAGACCGAAAGGCATAACGATCCACTCAAAGTGCCCATACCGTGTCTTGAATGCGGTTTTGTACCGATCTCTTGGCCGGATCTCGATCTGGTGGTATCCGGACTTAACGTCAAGCTTCGAGAAGTACTTGGCGTCGCCTAGCCGCTCGAGAAGATCATCGATCTGAGGGAGAGGGCCGGCGTTCTTGATCGTTTGCGCGTTAAGTTTCCGATAGTGGATGCACAAACGAAGGTCCTTGTTCTTCTTCCGGACGAAGAGAACGGGAGCACCGTATGGCGAACAGCTAGGGCGAATCCAGCCCTTGGCCAAGAGGTCGTCTAGTTGTGCCCGAAGCACTTGAAGCTCCTCTTCGCTCATGCGATAGATACATCCGCGCGGAGGTACGACGCTATCCTCGATAATGATCCCGTGGCGTATGGGCCGATCCGGTATTACTACGGCGGGAGCTTGAAAGACATCCTCATAGTTGTCCAACAGCTCAATGATGCATGGGTCCGATGTATCCGTCTTGGGCTGATCACTAGGTGGGAGGGCGTGAAGAAAACATATGTCCATCTCCTCGATGCCATTCCGCTGGATGGATTGGCGAATGCTCGCCGCGGAGACCACGTGACAACCAATCGAAGGATGAGGAAGTGGCACCGTATACGAGACTAATTCACCACGCCGGTCACGAACGTGAACGGTGCGTCGATAGAAGTTCACCGGATGGTCTTCGCTTTGCAGCCACGGCATGCCTAAGATCATATCGAACTTAGTGTCCAATATGTCGAATGACCCGGCCTCGCATGCTAGCGGGGCAAAGTACACGGGCACCGAGTCAACGCATCGGTCGATTGACTTTGGCGTGTGACCATCGGCCAACGTGACGTGTGTAGGCTGACTTTTCCTTCGAACGCGCGGGCCAAGCCCGGCGCGTGCCATGAAGTCTTGGCTGATGTAGTTGCGAGACGCTCCACAATCAATCAAGGCACTGCAGGTCGCCTTTCCGATCTGAATGCGGATGTAGAGGAGCGGCGCGTCGATGTCGACGTACCGTTGCGTTGTGTGCTCACGGTCGATCTTCGCAAGATAGTTACGAAGGTCAACAACCGCTACTCCGCCATCCGTCGACGGAGGTGGTACTGCAGCGTGCAAGTATTCGCGCAAATGTGTCATTAAGGCGTTGCAATGCGGAGTTGGCAAGGAACCGGTGGAGGGAAGAGGCAACCATTGGAAGTCCTCAACCGTTAACGGGTCGAGTTCCTCAAGACTTGCCCAAAGTGATGGATCCTCCAATAGAAGGGTTGGCGAAGCAACCGGTTCGTTGTCTGGAGGCGGAACTACCGCGCATGCGCTTGAATCTTGCACGTGAAGAGGCTGGTTCAACGGTGGGACCAGCTCGACAACATAGTTCTCAAAATCAATGCGAGAACTTGCGACTACCGCGTCATCCCCGGATGTGAGAGAGACTGCTAGCAAGGCAGCCGACTCCGGCGGATTGGGAAGTGATGTCGCTGCACTTCCTGCGGTGCTCAGTTTCCCGAGCTTGGACGTTTAACATTCTGCTTGTCCTTGTTGAGGCATGTGCTGGTGATGTGTTTGGTGCTGTTGCACCAAAAACAGCATCCCCATTTCTGTCACAACTTGAACATGTCTTCGGTAATGCCGAACTTTGTCCATGGTGCCTGTCGTGCTCGATCCGCCGACGTTGGTTTCGCCTTTTGTTTTCCCCCTCGGGGTCTTGAGCGTTGTGGTGGTATCGCTGCCGCCACATCTCCGTCACTTGATGTAGACGCGGCTGCGTGGTCCTCACTAGGTCCTTGTTGGACTGCTGCTACTTGCGGCGTCCGTTGACCTTTGCCTTTCTCCATATAACCGGGTTGTTGGCGGGCCTCGTTGGCCGCACGCCGGTTACCTTGTATGAGCTCCCTTGCCTTTGTGATCATGTCATCAAAGGTCTCATACTGGAATTCGCTGCCGAGAGCAGCTGTCAAGGCGTCGCATGACCGAGCGAAGAATTCGACCCGGATTGCGTCGAACGGTAAGTTCAACTCCGGGGTGGCAACGAGTCTTTGCCACTCTGTCAGCCACTCCCGTGAAGGTTGTTGGCCTTGAAACATGCGGAAGATCTTGTTCAAGGCGTGACGCTTGTCGTTGTTGCCCATGAACCGGGTCTTCCATTTCTTCTCGAATTCCTCCCACGTAATCTTGGTGTGGAGGGTAGCAATGGTGCATTCCAACGTGGCGGCCATGTGGGTCATGAAAGCCTGTGTCCCTCCGATGACTTGGAGGTAGAGTGTGTCAAGCCGCCGTAGTTCTGGAGTGTGATGTACATCCACCTCCGCGTTGAAAACCATCCACCATTGCAGCGGATCAGTCTTGTGATAGTCATCGAACTTCTCGATCTTGAAGTTCGGCATCTTCCATTCCTTGGCGACGGCGGCCGGTCGTTGCTGAACGCGGTCGCTGAGCGTCTGCAGCTGATTGCTGACTGTCGACGCTCCAACAAACTAGCTGATGTCGCCGAGGGATGCGACCACGTGGTTGATCCGCTCCTCGAGTTGCTTGGCCTGTGCGGCCAAGGTTGGGCTGCAGTCTGCCACTGCGTTGCCCGTCGACGCAGCTGCCGACACTCGTGCCAACCCCGTGCTGACATTGGACTGCAGCTGGTCGTTGATTGTCTGCTGCTGGCTGCTGGCGGCCTGTAGTGTGCTGATCTCGGCCTGCAGGGTAGCGATCTTCTTGTCCATTGCTTTAAACGTTGTTTCGTGGCGGATGAAGACCTGCCGCATGGCCAGCAGTTCACGTTGCTGTCAATTGCACGTGTACAACAGATTCTCCATCAAAACTGTTGTGGCCTCCTTGTTTCTCTCATCCTCGGTCAGCTCCTCTTGTTCCTCGTTTGCTTGAGAATGCTGTTGTTGGAGTAACCTCCGGTACGTGGCTTCTTCGTTGGCGAGCTCCATTGTAGCTTGGTAACGAACTTGGTTTTGACTTGCCTCGACCTGCTGCTGTTGCAACCGTGCGGCTGCTGCAGCTTCTGCTGCGGCCTGCTGACGTGCTGCCTCTGCCTCTGCCAGCTGGCGTTGAATTTCCTGCTGGCGGGCGGCTTCCTCCTCTTCCCACTGCCGTGGTCTCCGAGTAGAACTGGAGACGTTTGAGAAGCGCTAGAAGCGGTTCATCGGCCTGCTGAACTGGGATAGAAGGGGTAACCGGCCTCTTGGAGCTGGCTTGTGCATTGACATCAGCGGTAGCAGCCAAGGTCGTGTGTCGCCTGCGCGGGATCCGAGGTGTCTTAGGTCCCTGTTGGGGCTTGGTTCCTGCGGATCCCCGCTCCGCACGTCGTTGACTGCGGCGCATTAAGTACTCTGGTCTTCGTCTGCTGCTGACGTGTCACCGCTGAGGTGGCACCTGCTGATGTGGCGCTGCTGAGGTGGCCGCTGCTGACTGGGCACTCGGCTGTCGTGTCACGCTGAGGTGGCACGCGGCTGATGTGGCAATCTGTGTTCGTGGCCCGCTGCAGCTGTGGCACAATGCTGACGTGGACGGAGACTGACGACCGTAGTACCGAGAGGAGGAGAGAGAGAAGGTAGGGGTGGAGGAAGGGCAGAGAGGCAAACAATGCACAAACAGTCCCTTTCTCCCCTGACCTCGAAATTTGACACTAATCGAAAAGAAAAAAAAATCCCCCCCCCCCCCTCAAAAATTTCGAATTTTGAGAAATTAAATAAAATTTTTTATCAGAAAAATACGACTTAATAAAATTTAATTTTGGCAAAAGATTAAATATTTAATTAAAGAATATTTCAATTTGCAGTAATTAATTTCGCAAAAGTTAAATATTTAATTAAAGAATATTTAAATTTGCACAAATAAAAATGAATGAAGTTTAAGCAAGTTTAAACATTTAAACATAACTTTAATGATTTGAAACGGTTTTCACCTGTTAGCAGTAGCGAACGCAGATCCCAGGGCTCGATCCCTAGTTCTCACCGTACCTGTGTACAGTACCGAGTTGACCCCTGAGTGTTTGAACCCGTGACCTGTGTGCTGCTAGTTGTTGTTTGTCTGTCGTAGGTCTGTGTAGTGGTAGGGGTTCAATCTGTAGATCTTTCAAGTAGGAGTTCCAGCTTTGTAGAGGTCGTAGCTACAGGGATCCTGAACGGTCAAGGTCGTTTCTACAGTCCTGAGAGGTCAAGGTCGTAGCTGCTACAGGGCCCGAAAGGCCAAGTCCACGAACTTTCGGAAGGTCCGGAGGTGGCCTTTCGAAGCTGCTAACGTTTGAGACAGAGGCAAGTGGGCAAGTGGTGGAGTCTACCCGTGCTGAGTCAGCAGTCCCAGTCCCAGTCAGTCCAAGTCTAGTCCAGCAAGTACCGTACGGGACTGTGTGCACCACGGGCATGGGAAAGGGCCAGACCACCGAGCTACAGAAGTATAAATCAACGGGCAGCGCCTAGCCATTCATTCATTCCTGCGAGAGCCATGCAGAAGCGCTGCCATAGCGACTTGTGCGAGGTGGTCTGCAGTGAGCCCGAGGGCGAAGTGGGCGAGAAGGAAGTTAGCCATAGCGATAGAGTAGTAGCGGCCATAGCCGCCATAGCTGTAGGTGTGTGTGGGTGTGTGCGAGTGTGCAGAGTGATGCGTGTGGGATATCCAGGGTGATCCTGTGTGCGAACAGCAGTGTTGAGTAAGCGACGAACAGAGAGTTGTACAGGCGGTGTGCCGCCATAGCCGTTTGAAGTGAACTTGTATCTGAGTTGCGTTCTTGGTACTATATCCTCTGAGTTCTGAGTGGGCGCTTGACGCCAGTTTGCTGCGCAACCTGTTTGCATGCATGTGAAGTGTGAATGAAAGCGAGTCTGATTGCACTGGCATCGGAGCTGGTACCCACTATCCCATGCGCCATCGCCGTTGCAGCAGGAGAGAGACGCGCGCCATAGGGCGCCACAGTTGAAGAGAGCCACTGTGAAGAAGTAGTCCGCCATAGCTCCGCTGCGGAAGGAGGTGCCGCGTACCTGCCAGGAAGACAACGACGAAGAAGACATACACACACAGAGAGAGAGAGAGAGAGAGAGAGAGAGAGAGAGAGAGAGAGAGAGAGAGAGAGAGAGAGAGAGAGAGA